GTGTGAGATAATTATAGATCCATGAGAAAAAGAAGAATTATGTATTGTATGTGGAAAATATTGTGACCGAATTAGATTAATTGCATCAAAAGCAGATGCAGAGAACTGCATTCGGTGATCTGTTTTGGTTTCCCCGACAATTTAAATTCAGCGAGAGTTTTTATCAGCCAATGAGCGTGTCTGCAGCGGACTCTAAACATTACTGATCACCTGTCTCAGTGTCTGAATACAGCGCATATCCGATATCAGACAGACAGGCCAGTTTATCAAAGTGTAGCCTGGTTGGTTCCCTCTCCCTGTTTTGCTTTTGTTTACTCCTGCTTTGGAAAGGATGAGCCAGGGGACCAGGCTAATCAAAGTTAACGTGATTTGCCGCAAGATGGCGATCGCAAATTCCCTTCCGCCGCAGATGAGCGATACCAATAGAGCGGAGGCTTTAGAAAGCCTCCGTCTAAAAATCGAAACAGCATTGAATATAATGGAGATTCGTGAATTGCAGTGACCCCTCTTTCAAAACACAGGTTCTTTCCTTATTTTTAATGACTTTTAATTCCTGAAATTTCCCAAAGTTGTGATTTAGACCTAGAAGAATTGCTTTATTAATATCATGGGGCTTCTTCCTACATGTATACTTTATTTTTGCGCAATTTACCGTGGGCATGTTTTGTACAGTAAGTGCAAGCATTCTCTATAAACTTGTAAAAAAAAATTTAACTAATGCACAAGGAAAGACTTGAATGTATGTCGCGCACTGATCCTAATAAATTCATCAAGATGTAGGACTCACAAAACTCATCTTAAAAGTTTGAAATAAAAAAGCTCAATTTTAAGACATGTGACAGCAGAGGTAATATATTTAAAAAAAAAACTTATTGCATACAAAAATCTTTATTTACAGAAAAATTCTTAAACTCTCAAATAACTATTTTAACATATTAACTAAGATTTTTTTTTAAATGATAGATCTATAAAAAAAAAAAAAAGCCCTGATGAACTGAATTTAAAAAAATACCAAAATAACATTTATATGTAACACTTATTGAGCAAACAAATAATGATTAAATAAATTACAGGAGAATTAAAAATTCAAAGATGACAGTAATCTAATTGGCGAATCTTTTGGGATTTTTCTTCCAGTCCTCCTGCAAAGAAAAAATACAGATAATTTCAGAGGAATCAATTAAGATAATGAAATTAAAAATTAGGTCAATGGCCTTGACCATCAGATATTCACAAATACGTGGTCACGTGGTCTTACAATGACATTAATCTAGCTTATGAATCCAAATCATATCGCCAGAGATCATTGAATACAGGAATTATTTAGAAAAAAATGAATTAAATGAAAGCTGAAATATAATTGTAGTTTTTGCTATCTGCTAAAATAAATTTTTTAAACTAATTAATGAGCTCTAATTAGCTAAGAAACAGGAAGTTAACTGATTTTTAAGGAATTAATTAGCAAAAAAGTGAGAATCTTAATTCTAAAACAAAGTCAGAGACTGGAAAAAATGGTGTCAAAAGAGACTTCAATATTACACATTGGAGCTTTGAAAACACTGATCACTGATTAATGGCTGGTGATTAAGACAAGGGGTTCTTCAGCAGTAGGGGTGATGAGGCTTGTCCATCAGTCGATCATCAAAGAATGGAGTTTCTCTTAGAAAAACAGGCAGCTCTAAAATAAATAAACAAGGCCGGAATTAAAAATATCTTTGTTTCCCCTAACCCGACCCTAAATTCTCAAGTTGGGTCGCGGTAGGTAGGTAAACAATTTTATTTTCTGACAGCAGCTTTGAAAATATATTCTAAAATTTAATGGAAAATTACATTTATAAATAAGAAAAGTACAAAAGAAAGTGATTTGTGAACAAAATGCTTAAGTTTCATACATATGCCGTTTAAAAGCAAAACTCATGAATAATTAATTCACAACTGTAATTTAGATGAACCTCTGAAATATCTCACGCCAGAGTACATTTATATAAATCAAATAAAAAAAGACAAGATTCTCAAATACGCAAAGACTGGACATCCGAGTATATTTTTTCAAACCTTTAATCACCCTCCAGTGCTTATAGACAGTCATTGTACTTTTTTGAGGGCCATTAGATTTGCAGTGGTTCTAGAGCATATTGCTTTGGAGTTAAGACGAAATTAAAGTGGCTAATTTTAAGTCGCAGGTTTAAATACCAATGAGGAACGTTGAAAAAGGTCCTTCAAAAGGGACAATAAAAACTTTGGCCAGTGTCGCAGAAGATGCTGTCTCAAAAGAGATCCCACTGCTTAATGATGCGTAGTACGTCTAAATTTGGAGCAATGGGGAAATGTTCAAATGTTGTCCCAACAAAAGGATTAAAAGCAAAGAAACAACCAATCTTCAAGGGCCTAATTAAAGAAAATGACACTGGACGTCTCAGGAAGCTGAATTATGATTTCAAAACTATTTGGAAAGGGTATTTAAACAATATTAGAATGAACCAAAGCGAATCTACAAATGATAAAAATGCTATATAAAACAATGTCATAGTCATGAAGTTTAACCCGTAAATAAAGGCATGAAAAAGTACAACTGAATTATATCTATGAATATGATGACATACTTACAAAAACTCCTATGATTCCATAATGGCATTTAGTAAACATAGGAACATAGATGAATTGGTTATTAGATCAAAACTCAAATTAAATAAAATGCAGTAAAATTGAATGATGTGTTCACTAGGTGGGCCCCTCATTTGCTCCTGAGGTTGGCCTTTCCATGTACCTGAAATTCAACAGACAGATTTGTTTGTTCGTTGTTTATCGTCCCCATCTTTCGAAAATTTATTCACTCACATGGAGACGCCAAGACACCTCTTAATTAGTCATTGTAAATTTTATTATCAAATTGTTTCAAGAGTGAAGAATTCTAGTTAGCTTAAGGCATAAGATTGAGACATCGCCGTTGTTTTGTAAAGAACTACTTCTATGTAATCACATCTAGGCGCTATTTTGTTTCCATCAAATGCTTGAAAATCACAGTAGAACGATGTCAGCCATTCTGATAAATACTGATTTTGATGAAATTGTATTTTATGAAACTTGGTTGACAATAAAAAAAATTTTGAATCATGTTATTTAAAAAAATCTTTTCAGTCGGCGCGTTTTAGTTGGGTCGGTCGCGTTAGGGGAAACAAAGGTATTTTTTATTTTGGCCCAACACAAAAAAAATTACAATATTAAAAATGTGCACCACATACAATAGCATATTCTTAGAAAAAGTCTGAAAAGTTAGAAAAAGTCTACAAGTAAACAGTCAAATTATGATTACTGTAGGAAGTACCTTTTCCTCGTGGTATTAATTTACGCTTTGTACTCACAAATTGCACAAAATCACACATTTTCCGCAGAAATTTTTCCAAGCGTACTTAATAAAAATGTAAGGCATATGGTGACAGAAAAGACTGCTAAATTGTGGAACAATATGCATTTAAAAAACACTCACATAAGTTTCCAGACTGTGATGGTCTACTGGATTGGTATCGGCATGGGGAGGAAAAAGGAGGCCTGGCATGGATCCTTTCCATCCAATTTAAGAAGAGCCACTTTACCAGTCACCGTGAAGCTTAAAGAAAGAGCTGCACAGCTGAATGTGGCCATGGCTGTCGGTCACTTGGGTACCAGTCTTACACCAGAGGGTATGCGTGGTATGTTTCTTGGTGCAAATATTGAACCAGCATCAGCCGCCAACATGCAACAGACCTGCAACAAGGTGCACGGAGAAAGAAGAAGGTATGGTTTCCATATTAATTTTGCCCCGTGATTTTCTAAAAAATGAAACTGGTGTAAAAGTTGAAAACTCGTGCTTTTTAAATAATTGAAATTCAATGCAGAAAAATCATACAAGTCATTTTTCTCATATGTGTTTTTAAATGCTAATTATGACATCATACACATGTGAATTTTCCCGTATTTTCTTAAAAAAGTTGCAGAAGACACCAATTTTCAATGGAATTTTCTTTCAGATAACATTCACCGTATACAACGGGTAACGCGGGGGAGTCGCTAAAAAGTATGGGGGAGTCGTTTTCAACGTATGGGGGAGTAGATTTCGCTTCGGAGTCAGAAGAGATGTGGGTCACGTCTTTTTTCGGTATTTGTAAGATGTATTTACAAAAAACAAATAGCCCATGGAAGGTAGCAATAATTAAGCTTTGGCTTGGTCATTTGTCCTGTTAGCATATACGTCTAATTTTCTCAAACACTTCGAAACTATTCGACAGATTTCATATTTACGTTAATCGAGTGGTTAAAACATGCATGATTTGGACAATCTACGACTTTTGTTGGTATTCCGACAGTTAAAACAGCAAAAGCAAACGTTTATCTTTAAAATGCAACAATTAAAACTTGTGTAGACTTTATAAAAATTAATAATTAAGACATTTTCTCTTCAGACAGTATTGGTTACGTAAGGGGGGAGTCGTTTCTGGAAAAACACAACACATGGGGGAGTCGCAAAATAAAGTCAAATGCATACTTGGTGTTGTTTTCATTTTATTTTTTTTATACTGCCAATACCTTTTTATTTATTCGTAGATATCTATAAATCAATGTTTGGTTAATTTCTTTATAATTTGAAGTTTTGACAAGAGATTGTTTTCTGTGGCTTTATCATATCTAGAAAAAAATCAGCAGTATACATGTATAATTCGATTATATATCTTCGGAGCACATGTGCTAGTATTCTCTATTGAAAAGTTGATGGCTAGTTTCACTTCTCAATAGAGAATAATGTGCTGGGCAACACGACTCTCCCCTCAATATGTATTTTTCTTACATCACAAAATTTTTTAAAATATTCAAACCCTCACTTCCATCAATGACAGCTTCTCCATAAAGAAGAACAACCAGATCAATGATATCGAAAATTTCCTAAGAATATCAACCATTTTTAATTAGAAAAAGGGAAAGCTCTGGTGTCAGTCCCGCCCCTTGACTTTTTTTTCTTGGGGGGGGGGGGGGGAGGTAGAAATTTTTAAACTGATAACATTCATAATTAAATAATTTATATATCATATAAAGAAATACATCTTCAAGTACTTACAAATTAGTATGCTAAATGAGAATATTTTTGACAATCTGGGGTTAATACACATATGATAATATACATGTGCACTCAGGATCCAAAAATGCTGAAGACATGACTGCATTGCATATTTCCCCTATTCTCTATTGAGAAGTTGATGGCTTGTTTCAATACTCCCCCTCAAGGGGTAGTATTGAAACTATAGCTATCAACTTCTCAAAGAGAATATATTTCCCCAAGCGCTGAAAATGTTTGTATACAGTATGATAAATAAAAGGAGAAGTGTAAAAATAATTAACTTTGAACAGAACAAATACCAAAACATTTCTGGTTCACTGTATACATTTAATTATTTGATACCCTCCCTTACCTTTTCGCAGATGTATACAGTTCCTCGGAATATGAAACCTCCTTAATCTCCCCCCCCCCTCTTTTCGCACTTTCGTGAACACATACAATGACGGGTTGTTACATACCAGACTCAGTAGAGGAAAACAGTATGTTCTTTAAAAAATATTTCAATAAAGTAAGAATTTCACACTTTTAAATTAAAACTTGTAAATTTCTTGTAATTAATATTTCAAATGCACAATCAGTTATCAAATTAAAGGCACGAAATTGAAATAAAGAAATACTAGTAATCAAAAAGATACCTCTAATTATATTTGTTTTGTTTCCCTGATTAATATCCATGCGGCGTTTAAACTTTAAGTTGATATCCATGTATAATGAAATATTTACATCTCTTGATCAGTGGCTGTTCCATCAATGAAACGTATAAAGACGTTTGCACCATTAATACAATAATTAAACTTTTTAATCCTTCTTTAAATGATTATTTAAACAGATATAAATATAAACAATAAAATGTCTTTCCTTGTTTCAATTGTTATTACTGGAAATAACGGTCGCAGTTATTGCAGAAAAAATTTACATAAACTGCTTACGCGGGTTATGTATTTTTTCTGCAACAGCTGCTTCCGTTAATTCCAGTAATAACAAACAAAGAAAGCATTCTATTGTTTAACACAGGCACATGAAAAGTTCTTTTGAAAGGATGAAGTTTTTGAAAGGGGGCAACCAGTACTATACATTTATAGACAGGTTTCCAGGGCAATATGTGTCTTTTCGGACCGATCGAATAACCAAACTTTGCCCGAGGCTGTTAGGCAAATAGTTTTCAAGGGGTCGACAAAACGCATTTTCGTCCGAGAACACATTCAATAAATGATTTGTTATAACTTTTACTGTTTATTATGATATTATCATTTTGAAATTTTGTTCATCCGCACTGCAGTTTAAACTTGGTCAATTTTGTCAAAGTTCTGACTACTGACCCCACCCACACTGTGACGTAAGTGGTGCAATATGTACTTCACAATAATGAACAGTAAATACATGTCATTTTTTAGTTTAACTTGAACATGTTGCTTATATTGATTTTTATTCATGTTAAATTTTACTAAAATTATCAAAAAAAGTGTAAAGAAGCATTTAACAAAAGAAAAATTGAAATTGAAAATAATAGTACTATTTAATTGTGCGACTCCCCCATGTGTTGTGTTTTCCAGAAACGACCCCCCCCCTACGTAGCCATTACTGTCTGAAGAGAAAATGTCTTGATTATTGATTTTTATAAAATCTAGACAGGTTTTAATTCTTGCATATTAAAGATAAACGTTTGCTTCATCTGTTTTAACTGTCGGAATACCAACAAAAGTCGTAGATTGTCCAAATCATGCATGTTTTAACCATTCGATCAACGTAAATATGAAATCTGTCGAATAGTTTCGAAGTGTTTGAGAAAACTAGACGTATATGCGAGCAGGACAAATGACCAAGCCAAAGCTTAATTATTGCTACCTTCCATGGGCTATTTGTTTTTTGTAAATACATCTTACAAATACCGAAAAAAGACGTGACCCACATCTCTTCTGACTCCGAAGCGGTGAAAATCTACTCCCCCATACGTTGAAAACGACTCCCCCATACTTTTTAGCGACTCCCCCGCGTTACCCGTTGTATACGGTGACATTGTCCACAGGCATCGCCCACAAAGATCTTGAGATATGTGATTTGTTATTAAATTTTGCACAAAATATCAACAAGAGGCCCAAGGGCCACAGCGCTCACCTGAGCACATCAGGCTTGAATTTACTACCCCCCCTTCCAGGCGTTCATCATTTGAACAAACTAGAATCTACACTACGTGAGGATGATTCCATATAAATATCACTAATCATAGCTTTGAAGTACTTGAAAAGAAGATTTTAAAAGGTTTCCCTATATATCCCTATGTAAAACTTGGGTTGGCCATTTTGGTCCCACCCTATCCCCAGGGCCGGTCGGTCATGATTTGAACAAACTGCACTACCTGAGGATGATTCCACATGAGTTTCATCTATCCTGGCCCAGTGGTAATTGAGAAGGATTTTTAAAGATATTTCCTATATATTCCTATGTAAAACTTGGGTCGGCCATTTTGGCCCCACCCTTGCCCTGGGGGTCATGATTTGAACAAACTTGAATCTACACTACCTGAGGATGATTCCACTTGAGTTTCATCTTTCCTGGCCCAGTGATTCTGGAGAAGAAGATTTTTAAAGATTTTTCTATGTATTCCTATGTAAAACTTGGGTCGGCAATTTTGGCCCCACCCTTGCCCCTGGGGTCATGATTTGAAAAAACTTGAATCTTAACTAACTGAGGATGATTCCACATGAGTTTCATCTTTCCTGGCCCAGTGGTTCTGTAGAAGAAGATTTTTTAAGATTTTTCCTATATATTCCTATGTAAAACTTGGGTCGGCCATTTTGGCCCCACCCTTGCCCCTGGGGTCATGATTTGAACAAACTTGAATCTACACTACCTGAGGATGCTTCCACATGAGTTTCATGTATCCTGGCCCAGTGGTTCTTGAGAAGATTTTTAAAGATTTTCTTATATATTCCTATGAAAAACTTGGGTCGGCCATTTTGGCCCCACCCTAACCAGGGGTCATGATTTGAACAAATTTGAATCTACACTACCTGAAGATGATTCCACATGAAATCTTTCCTGTCCTAGTGGTTCTTGAGAAGAAGATTTTTAAAGATTTTTCTTATATATTCCTAGTTAAAACTAGGGTCTTTTTGGCCCCACCCTTGCCCCGTGGGTCATGATTTGAACAAACTTGAATTTACACTACCTGTAATTCCACTTGAGTTTCATCTTTCCTGGCCCAGTGGTTCTGGAGAAGAAGATTTTTAAAGATTTTTCCTATGTATTCCTATGTAAAACTTGGGTGGGGCCATTTTGACCCCACCCTTGCCCTGGGGGTCATGATTTGAACAAACTTGAATCTACACTACCTGAGGATACTTCCACATGAGTTTCATCTTTCCTGGCCCAGTGGTTCTGGAAAGAAGATTTTTAAAGATTTTCTTATATATTCCTATGAAAAACTTGGGTATTTTGGCCCCACCCTTGCCCCAGGGGTCATGATTTGAACAAACTTGAATCTACACTACCTGAGGATGATTCCACATGATTTCATCTTTCCTGTCCTAGTGGTTCTTGAACACCGTTCATTGAAATCAAAAACCGATGCACTATTCTGTGTATCTTAGGGGTCATGATTTGAACAAACTTGTGTGCAAAGTTATTCCACTTGAGTTTCATCTTTCTTGGCCCAAAACTTCTGGAAGAAGAAGTTTTAAAGAAATTTCTCAGAAAATTCTATTTTTAGTAACCATGGCAACACCGTTCATCGAAATCAAAACTACCGATGCTTCCACATGATTTCTGTTTCCTGGCCCAGCGGTTAGTGTAGTCTTTGTGTGCAAATGTTAATTTTAAAAATCAGACCAAAACTGTAGAAGGAGTAGTGCATTTTTGAAAGGAATTTCTCAGAAAATTCTATTTTTAGTAACCATGGCCGACACCGTTCAACGAAAAATCAAAAACCGATGGCTCAGGTGAGCTAAAAAATTAATGTGTATCTGTAGTGTAGTTACTTGTGTGCCAAGCTATATTGAAATCAGACTTAACATTGTAGCAGAGGAAACCTTCAGCGTTTTGAAAAATTGTTTACAGACGGACAGACAGACAGACGGACGGACGCCGGACGCATTACTATCGCATAAGCTCTTCTGGTCTCTGACCAGTAGAGCTAAAAATGTGGACTTCCGGATATCCCCATCATGCAGAGTGGAAGGAGATGCTTGGTGCAATAATGCCACATTCAGTGCCATTGAAAAAAAAAAACATTCCAAGCTGCGACCCAAGTGACTTATACCGTAAGTGAAAATGTAACTCAGAGGTAAAATGTGGTTGCAGTTTTCTGTGGGAATAAACTATGTAAGAAAGGCGCACACCTACATGTACGAAGCAAAGGAAAGGAAGTTACCTGTCCAGGACATGAAGACTGCACTGCAACCATTCCTCCTGAGACCACCATTGGAGATGAGAAGAGATGGGCCACTAATTGTGTTGGTGAGTTACTAAGTGATGACCGTCCACTAATCATATCCCATTTCACCAATGATGGAGACAGTGCCGCGCCTGCATCTGGTGCATCTGAAAAACACGGACGTGTGATTGAAAACCTTAAGGACTTGCGTCACTTCTTTGACTCTCAAAGAAAACAGACAGCTAAGGCTCCATTCAGCAGTCACATGTTTCCGGGAAGAACCAAGGCCATAAGAGAATCCATGCAGAGAAGATTTGCCTTGGACCTGAAGCTTTGATGCAGGACAGAGTACGAGAATTGCTACAAACACTACTCCGGCGACTTACCTTTGATGAAGCGTGCTATGTCTACTGCGGTTGGTTCCCTCATAAACTGCTACCAGGGACAGTGCGGGAAGTCCTGTCAACTCTATTCCTTTTCCTGTTGTGGACTGAAAAGCAATAAGTGGAAATCTTCAGTGTTGCCTAGTGACTTTGAATTAAACATGACAGAAAAAGACAAATGTTTGTTAAGGGGGGACCTATGTCCGAAAAGTCATTGTGTGAAATTTACAAAACTTGAAATTTCTGTCCTGACCACTTGCTCTTTATATTTACGTATTAAAAACAATACCTTTATACGCTTATTTTTACACAGAAGCACGTGCAAAAACAGTATGAAATGCTAAAAATAGATCAATTTCAGACATTATTGTTCTGCCACAAAAATGCGCTAAAAAGAACCAAAAATGTCAAATCACACTCAAAATCAACAGGTATTTATTTTATATGACTTGTATCTTTAAAATGAATGCAAATTCATTGTAATTCATCTTGCATGAAAAAATATAATGCAGCACAATGTAAGTATCATCCCGTTTTTCTTGTCATATTTTTTACAATGCCGACATGCATAACAGGTAATATCTTGAAAAGTCTTTGTGTGAAAATATTGTAATTCATATTTTTTGAAAGATATGATTCATCTCTTTATTTTAACAAAGAAAAGAGTATACCTTTATGGTAAAATAAACGAGAAATATGACGTTTTCTTTTATTTTCGTACTTTTGTGTCATAAATATTGACCTTTCTGCACTAAAAAAAAAGGTATGTAGGCACTGACAAGTATTTAAATATAAAACTATTTTGCGAAAAACAAGTATTTTGTTTTGATTAGAAACAATTAAAAGTTTAAATTTTTAACAGATTAACTCTTCTTCTTCATTCCAATCACTCTGCCCCCCCCCCCATTTCTACGTCAACAACCAACACCT